TTAGGGTGTCCTTCAGTTTTAGAAGGTCATTCGGATGTAAGTTGGATATCCAACATGGATGACCATTCCTCAACTTCTGGTTGGGTATTCTTGCTTGGGGGAGGTGTCATTTCTTGGGATTTCAAGAAGCAATCTTGCATTACAAACTCAACAATCGAATATGAGTTTGTTGTGTTAGTAATTGTTGGTAAAGAAGCAGAGTGACTAAGTAATTTAGTTTATGAGATTCCTTTGTGGTCTAAATCGATAGCACCTATTTTCTATCCTTTTTGATAGTGAAACCACTTTGGCTAAGGCATATAGCCAGTTTATAATGGCAAGGCTAGGCACCTAGGTGTAGATAAAGTATGATTAGAGAACTAATCATCAATGGTGTGATTTCGGTTGAGTTTGTGAAATTGCAAAAAAATTTGGCAGATCACTTGACTAAAGGTATGACAAGAGACTTAGTGCACAAGTCTGTAATCGAGATGGGATTAAAGTTCATTTAATTTTGTGATGATGAGACACCCAATCCCTTCCTAATATAATGTTAGGAGTTGAATTCAATGTGGAAAACTCATACTTATAGATTGGATTAGCTGCTACTTTTCCTCGCAAGGCTTGACACGTGGCGAATTTCTACAGGGGCAACGTGGCTGACTCTAGAAGCAAGCTATGCGCGTCGCGTACGCACATCAACTTTCATAATTTCAAAATTTGCACAGCTTTTCATACGAGCTCTGTTTTTTATGTTCTTTATATCTACACGTAGCTATCGACAAGATCTACAACTTTCATTCAGACTTCGTCAATTATTTTTTTAATTTTATTTATTTCACAAAGGCTTGGACTATTAAAGTCTGTATAAAATGCATAACATTGTCATCCGACGTCCGTTTTCGACTGTCTTTATATCGTTGAATTCCTATTAATGAGATCTTCAATTATCGTTTATTTCATTTCGGCTAAAAATTGATCGATCAAAAGTTTGATTTTTGAGCTATATATTGTTACGTTGAATATTAGAAAAGCCATAATTTCCTATAATGAAGTAGAATTTAGACGTTCTCTATATGCACGCTCTCGTTTAACGACTACTACGTCTTTCATTTAGATCACTAAGGCTAATAATTAACCTAACAAAAACTTACTTTTTATGACGCGCGATGTTGTATTGGGTTAAATAACAAACCTTCAACGGGTCACAACTTATTCGTTATAAGTCCGATTTAAGCGTTATTTATTTCTCCATAATCATTTTCACGAACACTTTAACTTTCATGAATGATATTCGGCCTAATTATTATTCTATTTTGATGCGTGTTTTATTCATATTTGATTATATCGTTATAAGCACGTATATTACTCATAATTACATATAAATTACAAAAATACTCAAATAACTCTTATTTATTACTTCAAAATATGTTCAATTGTTGACCCTATTATTACATCATATTATTAATGTTTAGCGGAAAATACGGTGTTACAATGAGCATGGTGTACATGCATTATATATGTATTGTTGTGTGGAGTATTTTGGGAACTCACTAAGTTTTGGTTTATAATTATAGATTTAAATATTTTTTCAGGTATTTATTGGATTGCGAAGGCATGATTGTACACACACATATCAACGGTTTTATGATTCGAGATTCCACATTGTTTCCCCTTATAAGTCTGATTTTGAATTATGCTTTTTGAATAAATGGTTTGAGGTAATGTCATTTTATAAAAATGAGTGTTTATTCTATTTTAAAATTGAAAAAGTTTATATTGGAATTTGGGATGTTATAGTTTTTCTAAAAAACAAAAATCATTTTTTAACCGAAACATGTTTTTTTAATGCAATTTCACTTCAGAAAAACAACCCGATTATAACTGAAAGAGGTCTAGACATAATCATATTTAAAAAAACCAAAGCCTGTTTAAAACTAATATATAGGCATCTCTACTTTTTAGTCTGTTTAGACTAAATGAAATGCATCACAATGCATTTATACGTGAAGGTCTGCCACATTATATAAAATCATTGCACTTTCAAGTCACTAACAGTGAGAAATGATGTTTGGGAGTAACTATGTAGTGAGATAAAAAGAGGTAGAAAGAAAGTTTATTTTTCTCTTGTTTGTGAAGGAATGTACCAAATGCTCACAATAGATGGTGGTGTTTGCTAGTAAGAGCATTTATATTTGTCTTACAAATGAAATTGCAAATCACTTTCAAATGACATGACATGTTCATGTATATATTAGTCTTGCAATACTGAAAATCTTTCAAATGGTAAGTGAGCCCTTTATGTTATCAACTTGTAACACAAAAACATATTACTTTATAATTTATATTTATTTAATAAATAACATACCATAATAATTAACTTTATACGGTGGTTGGGGCCATTATTGATATAGAATAGGCTTGCAAATATTAAAAGCCTTTCATCAACATTGATAGTCTAAGTCATGTGCAATTTAGTGGTGCCAAGTCAAATAGCACGTCAAAAACCCAAGGACCTTGTTTATCCTTAGAATTGACACGTTTATTGTTTACTAGGTGTTAGATCTGTGTATTACACGGGTTTATTAAAAAATAAAAGTTTAATATCAATGTATAAATATTAAATATTAAATAAAATACTTTTACATACATGCGAATGATATAATTGATAAGTAAGTCATTCAATCTATACTATTAAAAAACTATTGATATATTTTAAATAATGATGTTAAAAATTAAGGTGTAAACATTAAATATTTTATAAATTAACTTTCGAAATAAATACAAACGAAATAATGAATAAGTAATGATTGAGTCTATACTAATATTTTTTTTTTGACATATTATAAATAATTATATGAATCAAAATTTTCAAATACTTCTTTGAAGATGATTTTTTTTTTCCATTTATTAGGGTAGAGATAGAGATGTATTATACACACATATTTATTTGTAAAATTTGAATAAATAATAAATTTGTTAGAATTCAAATTAAAAGTCTAAAAATTTAAAGGTATGTTTTGAATTCAAATATATCATCAAATATACGATATTAATTGTGTTATTAGAGCATCTATTTAAATTTAAATATATTTATAAATTAATAAACATTTAAATAGAATGAATACTTTACATATATAATAATAGACTCATTAATTAGTGGAACTGATTATTGGTTAATAGAAAAAAATAAAGATAGTATATAATGACATATGAAATTTAAATAATTATAAAATCTCATATAATGACATGTGTCAAAATCCTCTCTAATAATATAAATAATTATCATAAAGGAAAAGAATACTTCAAAATTAATGAATTAAACTTTTGATAAAATTGCAAAAACGGTCACTATGGTTTGTCAATTTTTGTGGGTAAGGTACAAAAAAAAGTTTATTAGCAAAAACGGTCCCTATTTGATGGTTTTGTTGCAGTTTTAGTTCCAACCTCGTTAAGTTTAACAACATGGCTATTAACTTTGGCAAATAACGGATTTACCCCTAGGACCATTTATGTAGTTTTATCTTTTTACCAAAATACAAAGACCAATTATACAATTTTTCTTTTTCGTTTGAATGAATTATGATATATGAATTATTTTAATTACTTTTTTTATTTTTAACTTTTTTCGTATTGTATTATTTTTTTATTGGATTATTATATTCATTTAATTATTTTTTTTAATTTTATTTATTTCGTTAATTCATCTGATTGTATTATTAGATATTAATAAATATTATTTTTAATAAATTATATTTATATAAATAAATATTATTTTTTATTATTAATTTTTTTAATTGACTTTTTTTTAATTTCTTATTTATTGTATTAATTCATTTTTATGGGATTATATATATATATATATATATATATATATATATATATATATATACATATATATATATATATATAAACAAATATTATTTTTAGCATATAATATTTATCTATTAGTAAGTGTTACTTTATTGGATTATTAATTTAAAATTATTATTTTTATTTATAATAAATAATATTTTTGATTGTTTTTATTTTTAGTATATAATATTTTAACTTATGATTTTGACATATAAAATTTGCCTAAAAATATTTTTACATGAATTACCAAATATGAATATTCGCTAGTCGACGGTCGGCCGAACGAGCACCGAATAACGAGTTCTACAACTTTTTCACCACCTGTAGTGGCTATGGTGGTTTAAAAACCCTCAATTTAACATTGTCGTCATCGATGGTGTTATATGTAATGAATGGTCAGATGTAGGAAGTATGCTTTCTGGGGTTTTTTTCACAATGTATGGGTAGTCAACTAGTGTAGTTTTCGTCGAGAATGACCGACTGTAGTCGATGATTGATGATTTCTAGCAAGATGATACGACGACGCAAGGTGGTAAAATGCAACGAATGGAGGAGCTGACCCGGAGTGTTTGGTACTTTTATTTAAAATAATAAAGAAAGAAATTAAATTAAAATAAAAACAATTAAATAAATATTATTTATTATAAATAAAAAAATAAATATAGTTTAATAATCCAATAAAGTAACACTTACTAGTAGATAAATATTAAAAAAATTAATAATAAAAAAGTAATATTTATTAATATATAAGTATAATATATTAAAAATAATATTTATTAGTATAATAACCCAATAAAAAATAATACAATAAGAAAAAAGTTAAAAAAATTAAAAAAATAAAATAATTAATATATAATAATTCAATAAAATGGAAAAAAAAAACCTTGTAATTGTGTAAAAAGATAAAACTGCAGAAATAGTCCCAGAAGTAAATCTGTCATTTGCCAAAAGTTAATAGCTATGTTGTTAAACTTAATGAGATTGAGATCAAAACCGCAATAAAACCATTAAATAGGAATTATTTTGCTAATAATTTTTTTTTTGAACCTTAACAAATCACAGAACCATTTTTACAATTGTCTAAACTTTTTTATCGCATTACATTTTCTGGATTAACTCAAATAGAAATGGGCCAGTGCAGGCCCAACTGGAGATGTAACAGAACAGTTTCTCTGCCACCGACCGAGTTACAGAAGGGTTCAACTCGGTTAGCTTACAACGAGTCCTCACAAAACTCTTCAAACCCTTTCTCTTTATTTAGGTAGCCGCTACTAAGAAATCGATCTTTCCTTTCGTCATCCGTCATGAAATCGTTTTGATTCATTAATCTATATATCCGTTTCGTTGTTATCACACTGAAATCCTAAAATCTGTGATCCGATCTTGAAAAACATGGGGGATTACAATGATGCGTTCATGCGCAACAACAACGCTGCCGTTCAGGCTCGAACGAAGCAACAGAACCGAGCTAATCTCATGCAAATGAAGCTGGTATCTCTCTATTCTTTAAAACCCTAACTTTGTTTCTGTTTTAGGCGAACTTTATTTGTAGAAAAAAAATTGTCGCCCTAGGTTTGGTTAATTGTTTTTACCGCAATCTGCGTTTCTGTTTTATGCGATTAAATTGAAACTAGGAGATTTTATCTGGTTTTATATGTGGTGGATTCGGAAATTGGTAGGGGTTAGTATCATTGTTCGTAATATTAGCTGGTGATTGTTGTAATTAGGGCTTTAATTGAGAATTATGTTTCAGTGAAATTGGATTAATTATTGAGTTGAGAACTCTAGGTTGAAGTTATTAGCAAACAAGGTTGTGGAAGGATCAAATTCTCATTGAGTTTGAGCAATGATGCTGTTTATTTTACTTGCTTTCGCTTGCACCCCTGCTTAACTGTATGAGATTGTTTCTATTGTTTCTTGCAGATTGGACAGAGTCATCCAACAGGATTGACTAATAATCTGTTAAAGCTTTTTGAGCCACGACCTCCTCTGGAGTATAAACCGCCTCCTGAGAAGAGAAAATGTCCACCATACACAGGTATGTGATACATGTTATACTATTTAAGTTCTAATTCATACATTGTAGGTTGAAATATCTAATTGATTTGCTTCTATTTTCATTTGAAAAGGCATGGCACAATTTGTTAGCCACTTTGCTGAGCCCACTGATCCTGAATATGCTCCACCAGTAGAAAAGGGTGAAACACCTGTAAGATTCTTCATTTAGCAAACTATATACATGTTAATCATCCATTGTATGTTAATTGTATTTTGGTTGATACTTGATGTACATGTGTGAATCAGGGCCAACGGAGGGCTAGAATTCACCAGTTAAGACTAGAAGAGGGTGCAAGAAAGGCAGCTGAGGAGCTTGAGAAATGTAAGAAGACTTTTTTCTTTTTCTTTTTTTATGAGTCAATAGATCCTAGAAGCTATCAGTGACTTGAATAGTAGTGACTTATGCTCTTTTTCTTATACAGATGATCCAAACAGCGATCCAAATATCTCTGGAGATCCATACAAGACATTGTTTGTTGCTAGGCTTGTGAGCATTACTCTCTTTTTGCATTGATGCCTTTTAAGGCTTTATGTCTTTTTAGTTTCTTGATTTAATTGACTTGATTTTGTTTTTGTACTTTCAGAACTATGAGACAACAGAGAGCAGAATTAAAAGGGAGTTTGAGGCATATGGGCCAATCAAACGGGTAGGTTTTGTAGAGTACCCTAAAAAGGGGCTCAAGGTTATAGCCTTTTGTTCGGTAAGAGGTTTGGTTATGTGGTACACAGACAACATCCTCATCAAGTTGTCTGCAAAACATCTTTCATAAACAAATAATCAAACTTTTTTAAAAAACCCAATTTGGAAATAAAGCTGATGACCCATTATCCAGACATTATTATTTCACAGATTTTATCATACTCTCGTAACTGGGTTATCTGAAAAACGATTATAATTCTGTATAAGTATTGAAGTTTTTAATAAGGGATTGTTCATGGGTAAAATATACAACAATTGGTAAGAATAAAATCTGCTAACTGCATACATGATTGTCAATGCCATATCAATACGCCTTTAACATGTTGCTTGCTGTTAATGATTTCTGAAACCACAAACATGGAGAATTGTAAGTGTGTCTTTCCATTTTCAATGCATTTACTTGTGAATCATGATGCTAGAATAAGATCTATCCGACAATACACAGTAAGTTTGAGAAAATTACATGCCTATCCTTTCTCCAAAATCCGAATAGTAAGTTGGAAGTTCAGTCAAATCGGTAATTTTTCCTCAGGTATTATTATTGCCCACCCATTCTAATACCCTCATAGTTTCTTTTCTTTTCCCCCTTTCTTTCTCTCTCTCTCTCTCTGCTCAAATCACAAATCAAGAATCCGGGTATTTTGGGTATTATTCTAGTAAAAGCTTATAGTCACCATCCATGGTAAGGGCAATTGTGTCAAGTCACTTGTTAAAAGGTATCCTACTTCAGCAGATGAATGATGCAAGAAATGGAGACTGTGAATGGGGTAAAATATTTAGGGAGTGCATCTCTTCTCTTCTTTTCTAAAGTTGTTGCATTTTTTGCTACTGAAAATTTCTTACTTTTGGATTCAAAGGGTATCATATCATATCATATCAAAAACGTTTCAGAAGTTGAGAAGATTTCCTGGTATTTTATATATATAAACAATTATATCAGTTTTCTAGTAATTTATTTATTGAATTAATTAGTCCCTGGTAAGGGGAGGGTAGTTTGTTGGAGAAATTGGCCACAAATTCTAGCAGTGATGATGATGATTGATGCATCTATTCTCGCCTCGGGAGCCTATAAATTAAAAGGTGAGCACGGCTATTGAGGCTTAGTCGCCTGTTTGCCGTGCATTAGGATTTTATAAAATTGCTAACTTCATCTGCATGTTTTTTGTTACAATCTGTTCATATCCAAAAGAGTATGATTTTTATTTTTAATTTTTTTTATTATACAAATCGATCTGTATATCTTGTCTAATTCACAAGAGTTTTTAGGTTCGCTTGATTGCTGATAAAGAGACGAATAAACCACGAGGATACGCTTTCATCGAGTACATGCATACACGCGATATGAAAGGTTTCTTTTATCTACATCTCATGTCTCACTTCCTTATTATTTTTATTATTTGCGATGTCTTATGGTATTTTAATAATTTATAGCTGCATATAAACAAGCGGATGGAAGGAAGCTTGATAACAGAAGAGTGCTTGTGGATGTTGAACGTGGAAGAACCGTTCCTAACTGGCGGCCACGTAGACTTGGTGGTGGACTTGGGACCACCAGGGTTGGTGGTGAAGAAGTCAACCAGAAGAACTCCGGGAGGTAATTTGTCACATGTTGTTTTTGTTATTAGAAAGCAAGTGATTCTAATTTGGCACATGTTGTTTTTGTGATCAGAGAACAACAGCAATCAGGAGGAGCATCTCGATCCGTAGAGCCAAGAGCAACTGAAGAGCGAGGAGATAGGTAAATTAAATAATACAATTATTATTTATTATTATTATTATATGGTTTTTTATAATTAAAGATTACTCAGAGAGAGGGAGAAGTCGCGTGAGCGCGAAAGGGTGGTTAAGGAAAGATCACGCGAGCGGTCCCACGACAAGCCAAGAGAGCGGGAACACCGCGACGACCGGCACCGGGACCGCGACCGTGACCGTGATCGAACTGGTCGGGACCGCGACCGACACCGTGATCGCGACCGCGACCGTAGCGGTCGTGACCGGGGGGACCGTGAGCGCGACCGTAGCAGTCGTCACCGTGAAAAGGATCGTGACAAAGATTACGAGGTGGGAGATGTTGATGCGTTGGATCGTGGGAGGTCGCGTGATAAGGATTATGAGTATGATCGCAGTGAAAGACATGAGAGAGATAAACATGGAGGAGGGGATAATGTTAGGGGGAAAAGCTATGATGATCGTGATCGTGGGGATATGGAGGAGTGGTATGAGCAAGGTGAGCATGGGAATAGTAAGCGTGTGGATGCGGAGCGTGATATGGGAGGTGTTGGTGGAGGGTATGATTATTATGATGAGGAGAGGTATGAACATCAGGATCATGATCGGTATGATCAGATGGAGGATGATGTGTATGAGCCAGGAAAGGTGGAACCGCGTGATAAGGATCGTGAACGTGAGTATAGGCGATCGGACAGGTCGCTCTCTCGGGACTATGAGTATTAAGTACTGAAAGCATAAGATGGATGCACGTATGTGTTTTGTTTTTGTTTGTGTGTGTTGTTATGGACCCTTGGATTTAACTTTTGTGGGTGGTATTGGATTGTTTTTTTTTTTTTTTTTTTTATAAGTTGTAATATCAAGTTTATTAGACTATTCGTGCCTCGTGATTTGTTTTTTGAGTTTTCATGAAATGGAGACTGCCTTGTGCTCTTGTGTTGTGGGCTTGTGGTGACATGGAATTCAAAGTAGCCCAAATAGTGAAAGCTGGAAGGATATCTTTAACAGTTGGATTTCTCTTAGTTTGTTTTCAGACCCCTTATTTGCAAATCGTACGCTTTTGAATTGGACAGAGAACTCTTGTTTGGAGACATTAAATTAAAGAAAAGTGATTTTATTGTAGAACAAATTGAATACCTCACAATGAAGAATTAATACCTAGTAGTCAATGTTAACCACCTACTTCGCCTACACGTATGCTTTGCACATTATATGGTAATTGAAAAAAGTCCTTGCAATCTCATTGAAACAGTTTGATACCATTTTCATTAAAAAAGTGTAGAAAAGGTCCCAAAAATGTTCATAAATTTAAAAAATGCCAAAAATATACAGATGCATAGAAAAGTTATGAAGACACTAATCAACCTTCAAAGTCGCTATGTAATGAATTTTTTTCGAACGACAGGTCACCCTATGGTTGAAGATTCAGAACTGAGACTGCTGCCAACTTGAACATATGTCAAAATAATATACTGGTTTAGGAGTCTAGTGAGTCATACAGGGATTGGATGTCATATCAAAGTATATGCATGAACACAATTTATACACTAGTGCAACAACCCCAACTTCAATTAAAACCTCTTTAGACATCCTAAAGCTACATTTTTAGAAAAAGCATTACAAAACACAAAGTACATTGTTATAACTCCATAATACTCAATAACCATCTTTGAGGGTGTGTAGAAAAAAATCTAATCCAATTACAAACGACCGACATATATTGAATATATAATCACAATTGAAATGGATTGGTTCTGAAATTTCAATATCTAATAAGAGTGGTTTGATTTTTGGATGATAACGAAAACCCAATAAAAACCAAGCCAACCGATCTAATCTAATTACTACTCAAATTTCATGCAATTTAATATATCCATTTATAATCCAATTAGTATCCAGTTTCAATTATTAAAAAATATTAATATAAATATTTCAATTATTTTAAAATTTGATGAAATTTAGATGGATCCAATTGGATGAAAATCATATAGCATTAAGTATCTAATGAATACAACTGATCAATTTCGATTTCTAATTAGACCAATTCAGTTCGATTAGTTGTATCGAATTGGACTGGATCGATTGACAACATCCAATATCCAATGGATGATTAGATTGGATCGGATCGGTTGTATAAAAAAGCATTGGATATGTGATGATGAATACTCCTAACCATCTTAAAGATAAAACAATGTAACATGCAATGTGGCATTAAAATCCAAACCCCAAAGTCATATAATCTCATTTTGGCATTAAAATCCAAACCCCAAAGTCATATAATCTCATTTTGTCATTGTCTCTCATCTCTTGGGGACTTGCAAAGGTAAACCCGAAAGAAAAAGATGGTGCAACTCCATTTGATATTATCATCTACACATCTACACTTACTTGCTTCAATTCATATATTGGTGGTGTGACCCTATTCAATATCATTATATTGTGTACATGTTCCAAAACATTTATACGAGGGATTCATTACCTCTTACCATTGTATCTGAGTAGGGATGAGATTTAGAACCAGAAAACTAGACCGGAATCGGAATCGAAACCGTTAGATCCGGAATATATAGAACCGGTTCCGGTTCCGGGTTTAAAAATAACTTTATCCGGGTTCTGAGTAATCTGGGTTTGGGACCATCGGGTTCGGGTAAACCGAGTCTAAAAACCAGAACCGATGTTAGGAACCAGAACCACTTTTAGGGCTGGAACAGGTTTTTGTGAAACATTTAAAAGATGCATATTTCATTCGTTTCAACTTTGATTGACATGCGGTTTTTTCCAACGTATAGTTTATAATTTGTACATAATTTTAGACTATAAATTTGTCATTTTTAATTTTATATTCATTGACCTACAGTCTCCCAAAGTCGATATATCAAAGTTGAAAGTTTTTAGTTTTTCATTTTTTTTGTATTTTGTGAAAGTTTTAAAACACACATATCTAATTCATTTGAAGCTGGATTGACATGTGATTTTTTTCCAACTTGTAGTTTAGAGTTTGTATATGAGTTTAGACTATAATTTTGTTATTTTTGGTTTAATATTCAATGATCTACAGTCCCCCGAAGTCGGGTGTAACACTGTAAATTTCAAAACAATTTTCGCATTTTATAAAAAAAATAATTCATTTAATATTCGTAAAAACACCCATGTTTGAAATTCAATCCATGTCATACAAAAATCACAAGATCTCATAACATAAAATCCCATGTGTGTGTATTTATCAAGTCGGCGCCTTCCCACGGTCGTCACTAGTACCTGAAACAAATAACACCAAACACTGTAAGCACAAAGCTTAGTGAGTTCCCCAAAATACCACATATAACACATATTAGCCACTCGAGGCTATAACTCTGTGGGTCTGTGCACCCAAACTCTGTGAACCCTCAGGTTTTAACTCTGTAAACATGCACAACATAAATCACATATAATAATGCAGTGCAACGCATACACATATATAACATACAAACATTGTATCACATAACTCTAGTTACCTACTCAAGGTAAAGTATAGTGAGAAGACTCACCTCATGTATCTCGATAACTCGCAATTCCCTGAAATCACTCGTGCTCGATCCCCCGAGCTATAATCTTCCTATAATACAATATATCTCTAATTAACACTTTTACAACTAAGGTTGACTAACCCTATCAAGTCAACACTGGTCAACTCTGGTCAACGATCAACTTTGACCGGACTCGGCGAGTGCATCAAAGCGACTCGACGAGTCTATACGCATTCACTGACTCCCTCGGATCCTCTCTTGGCACGTCGAGTACTTCCCTAACTCGACGAGTTCCACCTGGCATGAATCGCGGGGCAACCACGACTCAACTCGCCGAGTCTCAAGAATAACTCGGCGAGTTCCAGCTTGACTCAACCCCATATTGACTCTCCCTGACTCACTGGGTCATCCCCCAACCCAGCGAGTCTACTCGTTGAACACTTTACGTGAAACCCCAACCCTACTCGCCGAGTCTCAAGAACAACTCGGCGAGTTCATGCCATTCACAAACTCTATTGACCTTCTGAGGTCATATCTGCTTTCCCAAACCATAAATCTAGCCTTCCCAAGCATGAATGTCACGTAAAGTTTTCAACTTGATGCTTGTATAATCCCTACAAGGCATCAAAAGGATATTTGGTCCCAAAAATAACCACCTAGGTCCAATGACTCCATAATAACCCAAAAAGCTCCAATGGTTAACGTCTCTGGACCTCTTTGAGTCCAGATCCAAGGCACAAACTCGAAGAGGGACCATTTGCTTCACATAATCACTCTCCAAAGGGGGTATAAAACCCTAACTCTAAAGATCAACCCTAAAACTGAAGGAGATTCGAACCATTACCTCAAAATGAAGCCTCTGGACTCTGGATCTGCTGGAATCTCACCTCCTCCTTGCTCTTGCCACCTTCCTCTTGCTAAACAGGGAATACAAAGGTCCAAAAGTTACTTCCTCTCTCCCAAAACGAATTAGCTCTCTTAGGGTTCTCTCAAGGGACTGGTAGCCGCAATGGGAGGCTATAAGTTCCCTTAAATAGGCTCCAAACCCGGAGAATTAGGGTTTCATTAAACAACGTGGACTCGCCGAGTCCAGACGCGAACCCGCGTCCAAAATCGCAATCCTACTCGGCGAGTTTGAGCTCCAACTCGCCGAGTCTCCTCACAAAATACCAAAAATATAAGAATGAATAATACCTGGGAATCCGGGCTGTTACATCGGGATATCATAACTGAAAATTTTCAACTTTTTAGCTATATGTTTTTGTACTTTGTATTATGTGAACATGTTAACACATGCATATCTCATTCGTTTAAAGTCGGATTGACATGCGGTTTTTTCCAGAGTGTAGTTTAGAGTTTGTACATGATTTTAAACTATAATTTTTTCAATTTTGGTTTTATATTCGATGAGTTACAGTCCTCTAAAATCGGGATATCAATATGAAAAATTTCAAAGTTCAAACCACTAAGTAGTTAGTAATTACCAAAAAATTTAGGTTTTTACGGGTTTTCCGGTTCTAAACCCACTTTATTCGGTTCCAACCTACCAACTTTGATGTATCTGGGTTTTTCGGTTCTAGACCCACTTTACCCAAAACCGGTTCCTATATACCGGTCCAGTTTCCGGTTCTACAAAATCCCATTAACCGGGTCCGAGTTTGGACCCACTTTCATTCTTGTATTTGAGAGCATTGGTTATCAAAACTTATATATTTGTTTAGAGAATACCTTTAAAGTCTTAATGCTTTTTACTAGATCAACCATGCGTGAGTGCAGACGGTGAAGGCAGAGAGTATCTTTATCATAACTAATTAAGGTATTGGGTATTGAGTATCTTTATCACAGCTAATTAAGGTATTGGGTATTGAGGTCAACCACTACAAATAACTATGTTCAATCTTTTTCCCTTAAGTTTTAATATTCAACATTTTACATATTGGTGTAGCATTGTAATCTCTTGTAGCAAGAAAGATTGTATTTTGAAGTTCTTTGTATTTTATTATTATATAAATGAAAGTACCGTATTTATCTTTATAAACTTTGTTTCGGTGTTCAAGAAACTTGTAAAACATGTTTAAACTTTTAACTTTCTATTGACTATTATCAACTCCCCCAGGGTGCACTATTAGACTTATAAAAAGACATCTTTCTAAAATAAGGGTTTTTATAAAAGGAGAAGACTTTATACAAGTTGCAAAAAAAGAAAATTGTTTTATAAGTTTAAAACGGGTTTAAAATAGTTATGAAAAAGTTTTCCTTACAAAACTTGGGTCCAAGTACACCAAAAGTGACCAACGACATAAAGGGTATACATATTCG